TCTAGTCTGATACCTTAACTACATCAAACTGGCTCCCATATATGTCTGTCTGTATATATATGTGTACACACACACACACACACACACACATTCGGGCAGAAGCTTTTTGTAGGCTAATGTTCACTTTGTTAACATGAAGAGTTATCTTCAATCTCAAGCACACCAATTGCATCATGACAAAAACAACAACAACCCTCTAAATTACCTTATAGGATTATGGATGTGTAGATAACCATGTACTTACCCAGTCAATTTATCTCAAGATTTAGCCAACTGTTGCACTGGAAGACGACTATTTTTTCCTCCATGCTTTATTAATTGGCTATAGACAATCATGGTTTCCCCCTTTGGATATTGGTGGGAGCGCACTTTAGGCTTGTGGGATATACTCTGTTTTAACAGAAGAAAAATCCACCACCTGTCCTGCTTCCACTAGTAGGTCAATGGACCCAGTCCAAAACGTGAGTGGGGTGAGGACAAACCCTAAACTTAGATTTCATTTATACTTAGATTAAAATGAATTTACATTAAAGATTCATTACAGCAATGGCTCCTCCCATTTTATACTTAATGATTACTTTTTCAGACATTTTAAAACTAACTCTTTTGATACCAACTTTTGGAAGGCCTTGATGGAGGTTCCTTCCACGTTTCTGAGAGCCTGAGGTTATGCAACTCTACCTTACAGGGATAACAGTGGCAAGAATAGTCAGACTATTTTCCAAGACAAGGAAGAGTTGTATGAGAAACTGCCTTCTGCCTTGTGTTCACTTTTATAAGGATAAATTACACAGTGCGCACCAAGATAAATATAATTTGTGGCTGAGTTACATTGTGAGATTGGTGTCTGCTTTTATTGCTGAGCAAAGTACATCCCTAAGTGAAATCACTAGCATATATTCTATATTTAACCAAATTTGCTTCTGTCCTTAAACTCTTAGGGAAAATCCGGGTGGTGGGGTGGGGGGCAGGACTTGGGGAAGTATTGGCAACATCCATGCAAGTGAGAAGCAAGTTTGACAGATCCAGTATTATCCTTGAGCAGAGCTTGGGATTGTTTAACTACCTAGCTAAATCATAATTTCTCTTTTTTGCTTTTTCATTAACACACAACTACTGAACTTTGTCTTCATTAGGTATAATATGCTTTATCTCATTTTTGACGGGTCTCCTTTTTACTACGCGATCAGGGAGCTACTGGCTTGAAGTGTTTGATAGCTATGGAGGAAGCATACCATTGCTGGTCATTTCTTTCCTTGAAGTGTGCGGTGTTGTATTTGTTTATGGACTGAAAAGGTAACTGGATTCTTGTATGTCATTTCTTAGTAAGTTCTTCAACTTAAACTGAGACAGTGTGGGAATGGAGTAAGAGTGGGCAGACCTCAGCCATGGAAGTTCATTGAGTGGGTGACTCTGAACTGGTCATTTTCTCTCAGTCCAACCTACCTTGCAGGACTTTTAGGGAAAAGTAGGAGGAAGAAGAGCTATGCATTTTACCTTGAGCTCCCAAATGAAAAGCAGGATAGAAATCTAATAAATAAATAATAGTTAAGAACAGCACTGTACTAAGATTATACATATTTGTTTTATTTTTACTACAATACTTTATTGTATTCAGAGATCTGTATAAATTATCTCAGTGAAGTTCAAATCCAGGAATATGGAAAACCATCATTATCATCATGCCCTTATTTTAGGGGAAAGGCTTAAGCTAAGAAAAGATGGCTCCCTTAAGGTTAGTTAGAGAAGGCACTCTGGAAGCATTTGAACTGAAGGCATTCTCTGAGAATGCCATCACCTAGCCTCTATACAATAGACGGTTTATCACTTTAATAAAGCCCCTGTGCAAAGCATTTTAACACCTAAGATGAATGAGAAAATACCCCAGCTTTCCATTCTATATCTCCTAGCAATTCAATGGATTCCTAGTGGAAAAATTCAGTGATTTTTTCCCACTGATGGGGTTTGAAAAGCCTAGTTCACTGATTTGCAGTGATTAATCTACCCCAATTCTCCCATGAAATGTTAATATTTTTAACCACTCCCTATTTACACAGAAATGCCTCAGCCTACTTGTACAAAACCACCAAAGGAGCAGTATAACCATTAATGTCCTCTAAGAGCATTTCTGCACTAGCAATCAGCATTGTGGCAGTTTCTCACTAGACTTTATTTTGCCACAATGGCTGGATGGTGCTAGAAATCACTACTGCAGAAATGCTGTAATTTTATTTTGAGGTTGCTTTTAAAAGCCTCACATTTAAAAGACCTTAGTTCCAATATCCATATATTTATTTTTCTGAAACTGAATGATCTTTGCCGCTTTAGAATTGTCTATCATTCTCGTTGAATTCTGTTGAAAGACATAAATACAGATGGCTATTTTCTTTTATTTTTCATGCCAAAGAGAGGTGTAAATCCACTCTACACAGATTCCAAGTTGAAGCTGACAGCTTTTAACTCTCTTGAGTTAAAAAAGGCCCTTTTCTGAAAAACTGTGTTGAACCCAGAACTGAATCTTGTGGTTCAGACCTAAATCTATATTAATTTCAGCCTAGTATTAAGCTAGCTAGGTTCTTTTGAACCTCAAGCCTGTTATTTTCCCCTTAGCTGTGAATAATCTGCAATCATTAAATTCCCCCCAATTTTTAGCCAGTCTGAACTGGTAATGCAGATTTGAAGTGACCCAATTAGCCTCCTCAATGATAAACAGGCCTGAATGAAAGGTAAAGTGTCTGCAAGATTTAATGACAGTCAAGAGGTGACATCATCTGTAGTTCAAGACAGACAATCAACGAGGAGTGATATTTTCAGTTCCCTTTGTCTATAACCTTCTGTAAAAATAATGCTCTAAGCAACAAGCATTTCCATTATTGCATTATATCAACATGATTCCTATGACCGAAGACCAGTTTCTCCAGTCACAAACATTTAAATAACATCAATTTTGAAGATTTTGCACCTAATGTGCAATACAACAGAATTTTCTGTTCTTTTTAAATTCACACAGGTCATCACCTGAAGTTAAAGCTATGAAGCAATTAGAATATACACACACATGCACACATATTCTTACATATCTGTATCTATCTGTAGGAAAATGTGGCTTGAACAGCCACCTTTGTAAAATGCAGCACTCTATCCGCTGCTGGGTTCATGCGAAGTGTATTTTTCCTGTCAGCCACTGACTGAACAGCAAGATTCTCTGTTATTAAGCCTTTACTGTAGCTTGGAATAAAATGATTTCCCTCAAGATATCTTGTTGCTAATTGGGAAACACCACAGAGAAGTATATCAAAGACTAACTTTGTGGTGACATTGTAATAGGTGCCTAAAGAGGATTACACACCAGTTATTACAGAGTAAATGGTAACTGACTTTTTATGTAATCGCTATAATGCAAGTTTAGAGATTCCATTGTGCATTGACTATAAACCAATTTGGCCACAGGTTCTGCAATGACGTGGAATGGATGACTGGACGCCCAGTAAATTTCTACTGGAAGGCATCATGGCAGTTTATCAGCCCTGTACTAATGCTTTCAGTCTTTTTGAGTTATCTATCTATTCAGCATCCATCAACCTACAACACATGGAATCCAAGCTACGTATGTTATACCCAATATTTGATTTCCAGCATTTATTTTTATGCATCAAAAATAAGGACCCAGTCATTACCACAGTGCTGCATAAGCAGCTCCTGCATAAAAGATACAGTGCTTAAAAATCAAATTAATCGGCCAACTCAGATTTAGAAAAACGGTTTATTATAGATGAGAGACTATCCAGTTACGAGACGACTCATACGTACATCAAATTGGCAATACGTTTCTTCTCTAATGTGTTGTTTTCATTACAATAGTTTACTATCTAGAATTTTCAGTTATGATTGTTACTTTTTTTATAAGCTGCTCTGAGATCATTGCTATAGATGTTGGAAGCAGATAAAGAAATAACTAACTTGTAACCAAGTTACGTGTCACTCATTTGCCCTACACTGGCTGGGGGGCTGTGCACACCTTCTTTATATGTGCTGGGGCAGCAAGTATGCATACATTTATCACAATAGAATAACTCAAGATTAACATACCATGTACATTTAAAGAACTCTTTGCCTCCACCTGTTCATTACTCTATGCCTTTGTAAAAACAGAAAACCTTTTAATATAAGAGATGAACTTGCAGGAAAAGCATGGCACATCCTTGTGAAGGATTGTTAACCTCTGTGTGGTCCCCTCTTTGTCCCACTATCATCCAGGGATCATTTCATGCAATGTATGTTTATCTTACAGGAAGGGTTTCCTTCAAAAGAGCCCAAATTTTACCCCCGCTGGGTTTTATTCATCTGTGGCTTGCTTGTGCTCTTACCATGCATATTTATTCCAATTGGAGCCATTTGCCAATTTAAGAACGTAATGCTGAAAAGGAAGGAGAAGCAAGTCCTACATCCATCTGAAAGCACCGAAGGCAGCTGATGCTCTATGATTCTATCATCTGATTCCAGTAGTCCGCAGTAAACGAGAAGTCCAGGCTACCAACATAAAAAGTATATTAATTTAAGGCAATCTATGAGAATTAAGAGTGTACATTGTCTATGTAAACTTCTGTAGAATTCTTAGTGAAAGTAGTAAAGCATTTCAAATAAACGGCCTTTATATTATATTCTGCCACGCTAAAGGTTTTCAAGAATTTATTTTATACATTTTCCCCATGTTCTTTAACTGAACAAAAGAAAAAGTATAATGAGAAAGAGATAGGGAGGAGAAAAAACACAATCAAGTAAGTATATTCATACAAGCCAGTTCTTAAATGACCCGTTGGGTAGAAATTGATCAATGGCTGACGGAGTAATTTTTGTGAGCACTTTCGGGGCAGGGCCAAAGATCAAGTGTGGTTCCCTTTTTCCTCTGTGTTGCAATTTGAGAGAAAGGCAATGCCTGTCTTGCAAACTTCTCCTAAACCTGTTAAAGTAAGGTTGGGCACGAAATGGGGTGGAAAAATGTTTTGTCCCAAATGCCAAACAAAAACACCCCTATTCAAATGTTTTGAACCTCCTGCTGAAGCAACACTCAAAACATTTTGAGGGTTCTCCCATGTGAAACAATGGAAATTCAAAAGAAGCTCTTGCTACCTCATTTTTCATTGTAGGGCCACAAAAATAGGTGGCATGGTACTCCTTGCTTATACTGTCCACCATCTAACCTATGGGGCAAAAATTAAAGTCTGAATCTTTGCCAGAACTATCTTCCCTAGACCCAGGGAACATATCAATTATCTGTAAAAAGAAGAACAGATCAGCATAGATTTGAATTGAACTTTATATAGCAATCTAGCCAGAGCTACATCAATTACTTTCATATGGATTACTTAGTACTAGAGACTGCTCATTACCAAGAACGGTACAATAAACACCAATAGAACTCTTCATCTTCTTTAGCAGTTAGCCTGGCAACGGAGCTCCCTATTATGTCAGCAAAGTACAGGGAAAGAGGATAATGTTTTTCTGATGTAGGCTTAATGTCTGCAATAAAACTACAGCTGTATCTTGAATCCGTATGCTTGAGTGCATAGCCTAATCTCAGATTTATCTAGCATTCTCCCATACATGTTTGAGAGTTAAGGACACAAGGCAAGCTCTCTTGGGGATAAGCCATCTGCAATGTAATAGCAGGGTTATATTGAATCAAACATATAAACAATGAAGTATGTTAGGAAAGGTCAGGATGATTCAACAGAATTTAAGGGAAGCAACTTGGTTTTATAACCGATCATTATAAAAATACTATATAACACCTAGCATTATTCTGATCAGGCTTTAGAGGATAGAATATAGTTTTTGACAACCATAAATTACACTTTAGGCACAGCATCAGGAGAGACAGCTGGCTCACCACTCCTGGATTACATTAATTTTTTCTTATTTAAAAAAAACAAAAACAAACACCACCAGAATTTCAAATTAGACACATTTTTTATTGCCTTGTGAAAAAATACTTTTTGATTTACTGAGCTTAAGTAGAGCTGATGTGAAAACTATTGCCTAAATTGTCTTAATCTCTCAATGATTCACAAAATTAAGTATACATCCCCTTTTGGACAAGACAGTTGTGCTGTAATTTACTTATCAAGAATTCTTTACAATTCACTGACAATGTGACTATAATCACATTGCACAAACTTGACTAGATGAGGTAAGGCAAAGCTTTAAAAAGATAACTTGTTACATTCCAGTTCCTTTGTAGAAAAAGTCTCAAGTGAACACATGGACAGAAAAATTAAGCAAGTAGAAGGCGAACCTTTGGAAGAACGTTGTTTTATATAATTAATCGAGGATGGCTTTGAAATCTTCATATAATGACGGCTTTATTACTTCACTAAGCAGTTGCATGGTAGCTTCTGGAATCTGACGAATCAACCGTATTTTACCTACAAAGAAAGTGTCATTAACTAAATACTTCTTTAGACCAATAAGTTATTCTGAACAGATGTACCAGATCATCAAGTACACAGCATCAGAGAAAAGCAGAGAACAAAGCCCCAAAAAGGTTCTATAGTCATCTTCCTTCTGTAGGGCTACTACCGATATCTTTGGAAATAATTTGCTTGAATATTTAATAAAAATAATGAATTAAATCACAGAAATTGGCAGCAGCCACATGTTCCACTAAGAATACTCAGTATCTATCATTCATTCATTCATTCATTCATACATACATACATACATACATTCATTCATTCATTCATTCATTCATTCATTCATTCATTCATTCATTCATTCATATATTCATTCATATATTCATTCTGTTGTTGTTGTGCTTAGCATTTGTTCCACTTGGTTGCAGAGTTCATTTGTTTTGCATTGTGCTTGCTTCAGTTTACATAATGAAGCTATCAATGCATGATATGACAAATTCTGCTTTTCAGCCAGTTTGGTGCAGAAGCTGATGCTGATTTTTGCTGTTTGTATGTGGGTGCGTGTATGAATGAATGGAGTGCTATATTTTGATTACGTGCCATCAAATTGTTGTTAACTCTTAGTGACCATATAGATATATTTTCTCCATGATGATCTGTCCCTATCCTAGCCTTTCAGGACTTCCATTCATCACTGTAACTTTGTCTGTCTGTCTTCCTGCTGTCCTCTTCTCTTTCCTTTCACCTTTCCCAGCATTACAACCTTCTTCAGAGAGCTAGGTCTTTGCATAATGTGTCCAAAATAGGATAATTTGAGCCTGGTCATTTGTGCCTTGAATTAGAACTCTGGGTTCATTTTTTCGATGATCCATTGGTTTGTTTTCTTAGCTGTTCACAGTATTCTCAGGAGTCTTCTCTAATACCAAAGTTCAAAAATGTCAATACTCTTCCTATCCTGTTTCTTCAAAGTCTAACTTTATTTTCCACAGAGTGTCACAGGGAATACTATGGCTTGCACGATTCTGATCTTTGTAGGTATAGACACATCACGGCATCTGAAGATCTTTTCCAAGGCTTTCTTGGTTGCTCTACTGAGTGCTGGTCTGCAGTGTATTTCTTGACTGCTTGTTCCCTTACTGTTGATAGTTGATCCTAAAAGGCAGAAGTTGTCCACCACTTTGATATCTTCATTGCCAATTCTAAGGCTGGTTGTTCTACTTGTTGTCATGAATTTGGTCTTCTTTATATTTAATTTTAGCCCCATTTTTTCACTGTGCTCCTTGACTTTTAGAACTTTGCATTTTCAGATTTCACACAAGAGACACTGTAATATAATGTAAGGTGCTGGATTAGGAGGAGGAGACCCAGGTTTTAGAAGTCAGTTGGGTGACCTCGGCCTTAGACTGTGATGTTGAAAAACAACTATCTACCACCCTTCAGTGGACCAGTGTGTTGATTATAGTCTATAACTTTCAGGAAGAGACCTTCATCTTGCAGTGGATTGATTCAGCTGATGATAATAAAAATACACAAGCCCACACTTTTATTGCAGGAATGATGCCAGTGACTGTGCAGATAACATCACCCAATTATAGAAGATATATCTAGGCAATATTAACTTGAGATCATAAAAATCTCCTTATTGTGCCAACATTCTATTTATAAATGAAACTTTGGGCAGAGTTCTCTCTGTTCACTAAAAGAAAAACATAATTTCTTAACGGCACTCGTATTGATTAAAACCATTTTTACTAATGATCACAGTAACTAGGATTATTTTTACCTATATGTTGGCATCTTTAATTAAAAACTACAGTTAGAAAATAATGCTTTTGTATATTGCTAATGAGATTTTCATTAAAAAGACCTACATATAACAGAAAGCATAATTGGAAATAGAGATAATATTTGGAGAGCATAGTACCAGTTGAGGACATTACATTGCTTATATAGACCCTATTGATGTGGACAGATACATTGACTGATATGCGCATACGAATATAATACTTAGCCTAGCAGTTGTTAGAAGCAACCAATTACTTGCAGCTTAAGCTAGACTGAGGCAGGATAGGAGTTACCCCCAGCTTGTCCCCTAAGTTGTACAGACAGTCTACTAAGGAACAGCTACCTCTTTTCTGAAGTTCTGCAAGACTGTGAGGCTGCAATGGAGTAGGGTGATTAGCTAATCCTAGTCTCCCTCCTCAAATGATGTGGAAAGAGTAATAACTATATCTGACAGCGCTTACAGAAAGACAGTATCTAAGGACCACAATCAGAATGCTAATTGTCATATTGTACATCAAATGTATTCATGCTTTATGAATTCACTTAAAAACATCTCAAATGTATGACGAACATCAAAGGAAAGGAATACTTACATTGTTTGAGAGGTACAAGAAGACACTTGTAAATTACCCTGTGATTTTCCAATTTAGTACTGAAGGCATGGTAGGAAAGCCACTGAACTGCTTTGTAAGAAAGCGGAATTGGACTACCTATACAAGAAAAAGAAATCCCCCAAACTTAGGAATTGGTTTTGGGACTCGGTACAATTGCTTTTCTATAAAACATCACTACTTTTGCATGATCGTTGCTGCAACCGAGGGACCAACTGGTCTGACATTCAAATGTATCACTGGATATTTCATTTTACTTCAAAAACAAGCAAAAAATAAAACCATGCCGTTGCCACCCTTGTGGGAAAACATTTGGGATTACAGTATATACAGGGCATTTAATTCCTTATTAGATGCTGATGTCAAAATAAAAATAAATCATTGTACCTGGCAGTAACCAATGAGATTTTCCTTTCCAAGCCACAGAGCATCTCACAGGGGAAGCAATTTTCACTTCAGCAGAAAGAAAAGGGGCTTAACTGCTCTTTGGTGATGTTACCTAGTCGGGTACTGAAACGTCTGCAAACAACCAAGCTCAGAGAGCAACAAGGACTCCACAGTTAACTGCTCCTCTCTCCATGCCATAGTCTCACTCCTAATCAGTATTCTTAGAGGCTACTTGAAGGGGAAAGGGCACAGCGATTTCCAACATCATGTTTAATTTGTTTTTAAGAAAGGAAAAAAGAGCTAGTTTGATGTAGTGGTTAAGGCACCAGGCTAGAAATCTGGAGTCCCTGAGTTCTAGTCCTGCCTTAGGCAAGAAGCCAGCTGGATGACCTTGGGCCAGTCACTTTCTCAGCCCTAGGACACAGGCAATTGCAAACCACTTCCAAAATCTTGCCAAGAAAACTGCAGGGACTTGTCCAGGCAGTCAAAGGCACACACACAAAAGGAAAAAGTCAGCCTCTGGCAGCCATTTTTAAAGGGGATTTTGGGCTAAAAATTTTTTTATTTCACCTACCTGCATTTTTAGCTTTCAGAACAGAGAAACAGCATGAAGCAGTATCAGAGATGACCATCAGGAAGAAACCTGGGTTATTTTTGATATGCCGATGAAAGGGGAGCTGGAGAACACAGGCATGAAACCTAGCATGAAAAAAGCCACAGATATTCCTTGCTTGTAAGGGTGGAGAGGGTTTAAGATATATCAGGACCTAATGCCACTGAATTTAGAATTCTGGAGGCAGAATCTGTACTGGATCAAATCAGGGAATTGCCTGCGAGAGGGTGGCTTTAAGGCCAGCACATATATGGACTTTTAAGGGACTCCCTACTGCTTGTGAACTTTTTAACTAACTGTTGAACTGAATAGTGATACAACACAGTGAGACTAAAGGACCAAACTTCTCCTTCCATTTGGCCTTGACCAAAGTGTATGTTCTATAATTCTGATAAGCAAATGTTTGCAGAGAAGAGACAGAGAGAGACAGAGAGAGAGGGAGAAATAAAACCTTGCAAGAGAAAAGATTTGTTCAATTGTAAAGTCATTAAAGGATTATCAGTACTTAAGAAAGTGAAGATGGGAATTCTAATGCAGCAAGGGCAAGGCTGAAAGGATGCATGTCAAAGTCCAGACAGATTTTATCCAGACACAATGTTCTGGAGCAAAACTGGTTAATAAATTACATGCTTACCACCTACTCTTTGATAGCAGAGGAGGTGGTATGAGGGGTGGGGGTGGAGAAGCAAGAGCAGCTGCATATACATAGTTGTTTCAACTGACATGAACTGACGTCAGTTTTGATCTGAGAATGATGCAGATCCATTCCTAGAAACATTTACTTAGCTGAGAAAGCTCCCAATGCCTACATTGCTTCATAATGACTCTCAGGAGGCCACCCCAAGTAAACTTGCACAACTGCGGTTTTGAGAAGACCTTATAGTATAATCCCGTGTTTTGCTATCATGGTTGGCACTTGCTGGCCACGCTGTTAGGTCTTTATAACTGCCCTTTCGTTTTCTTCCAACAACCTCTGATCGTTCTGTTTAGACTCAAAGATTTCCCAAGTTATCAAACAAAACTCATGTCTACTTAGTTTCTTTATTTTAAAAGGGCTTGTTTTTTGCACTGGCAGATTTCTTGGTGAAGATTTCTTATGCTGTTTGCTAGAATATGTAAAAAAGGAAACTGTCACCATAGGAATCAAAGAAACAGCTCAACTAGTCTCTTTGTCTAGGAGCCTCTAGACCAGTGTTTCTTAACCTTGGCAACTTGAAGATGTGTGGATTTCAACTCCCAGAATTCCAGTATTCTGGAAGTTGAAGTCCACTACATCTTCAAGCTGCCAAGGCTGAGAAACACTGCTCTAGACAATTAAACCCAAACGTTTTCCAGAGTACAGATCACCACTGAGGTTTGGTCCAAAGGAAACTGTAAAGCTGCAAATCTCCAATTTATGCATGGCCAGATTAAATATAAAATTTTGGGAGGGGGGGACGTATACACTATGAAAACCATTCTGCTGGTGGCCTATTTGTGT